ATTGGATTTCTCCCAAGAAGAAAGCCCAGACCGAAAGCAATAAATGCCTCGATCTCGCCGTTTCTCTCGGGCAGATTGCTTAGATCGTTTACATCGCTTAGACCGTTTACACCGCTTAGAGTTCTTAGACTTCTTAGAGTTCTTACTTCTAAAAGTTCTTAGATTTCTTAGAGTCATAGTCTCGCTACTATATCGCTTCGTAAAACCGCCGTGCTAACCGCTTAGTGAAAACCGCTATAAAACGAATCTTTTCGAGAAGTGCCGAGAAAATCGCCGAGATTTTCCATCACCGCGATTCCAACTACAATTTGGAAAAGGTGACCGCATTTGATATTCTGTTAATCTAATATTTAATTAATTATATTTTCTGACTTTGTAACTGAGCATATTAAAGAAAATTCTTTTGTTAAATTACAAAGAAACGGAGTTCTCTTTACTGTCATATCAACCGTGTGCCGTTCTCTCACTCGAATCTTTCCGCGCGGTGCATTCTCGCACATTTTCTGGTCCTTCGAGCCGGATTTGAACCAGCGAGAAATATTGTTAGACAAACGCCGCATCACTTTAAAAATTTCACCAGCGCTCTCGCTCTGATTCGCTCTCGCACATACATACATATGTAGCTATTCCATCTCTTTTTATTATGTTTAATGGGGCTTTTATAATTATAAGCTATAAATCAACCATAAATAAGAAACCAGACGCTAAAAATTAAGTGTGATTAATCAATTTTTTCTTCTTTCAGCTTCTGACTTCTGATTTGTAATTAATGGCTTATTGTAGAAGGCCCATAATAAAGAGAGATAGAAGTTACTCATACTTAGCTTTTCATGCAGATATAATGTAGACACATTAGTGAATATTAGAATTATATTTTATGTACATTTTGTTATGATGTGTACACACATTACAAAACATAAAATATATTTCTAATTCATATTCACATAGGTAGCTACTTCATTTCTTTTTGTTATATGTAACAAAAAGGTGTACTCATGTCCTCTTTTTTCTATGTTTAATAAAGAGATATGTTTTTTTATGGTCAAATATACAGATATTAGTATGAGAATCTTAATCTCTACAACTGCATGTGAATTCAAGTTACGCGCGCTCTCTAGAGCTATTCTCTCCCCTTCGAGCGACGCGGACGCTAGAGCTAAGGCGGCGACCCCAGTAGAGGGCGCAGAGACTTTGAGAGGACACAGAGGAGACAGGCGCGTGAGTAAGGACATTGTTTTGAGTTAAGTTAACGAGTATCACATTAAAAACCTACGTCTCGATACATACATCCGTAGGGTCATCCACGAGATCCTACATAATTTGGGGGCTCAACCGGGATCGAGCTAGGTTTTGACAGTGGCGAGAAAAACGACGAACGACACTTTACACGAGATACAAGGAACGATGCTCTACGTGAGGATGACGAACGACGCCTCGCACGAGGAAAACGACGCCAAGTAGTGAACAACGACGACGACATTACGTAAAAATAACGATGAGAAAGACGAAACGAAAGAAGAAAGACGAGACGAAAGAAGTTGGACGAAAAGAGTAAGACAAAGACGAAACACGAAACGAGAGACGAAAAGAAAAAGACGAGACGAAAGACGAGACGAAAAGACGAAAGAAGTTGGACGAAAAGGATAAGACGAAGACGAAAGATGAGACGAAAGACAAAAAGAGAAAGACGCAACGAAGAGGAAAGACGAGACGAAAAGGAGAAAGAGGATATGGGAGATAAGGGAAGTCTGCCATCTTGGAGGGAAGTTGATAGAGGAACATTCGAGAAGGCTGTCGAGCATGACTATCGGCCATTTTGCATGTAGGGACAACTGAAGACGATTGGGCATTAGTGATAAACAATGGAGACGCTAGGAAAGATTAAACCAATCGCCGACAAGATGTGAACGTCGTCGCTCCCAGCTGTATATGCGCTGTATAAATTTATATTCGAAAAGGACGGACATCGCACTAGACGCAATCAACTACGTAATTTCTGTGGTTTCGATTTCGACGATGCTTCAGTTGAATTTCGTGCAAAATTGGAATACTCTGCCATTTTCTCGATTGGTGACCTGACATCTATATGCAATATCCTTAACTTAAGCTACGTCGGCGAGTAGATATACTAGGCGGGTTCTAACCCAGGAGCTAGAGGGGAATGCGGGGTGCGGGGAAGTACTTGTAGGCGCGGGGGATACCTAACGCGGGGGAAAGAGGGGGAAAGGTCTAGGCTCCTACACAATAGGGCTCCTATACAATAGGGCTCCTTCTTTTGTTATCAAAATTTGACCATGTTTTCTTTAAAAATGCATTGATAATAAAGGTTTGAATTTGACCATGACATATTTTTCTTTTCTTTAAAAATGTATAGATAATAAAGGCTTGCATGTTAGAGAAAGATAGAGCGCGCGTGCTATGAGTGAAGAAAGGATGGAAGAATTAATAGAGTACGAGTTTCTTTTGTATGATACAGTTTTTTCAATTTTTATGGTTTTTCCTGGCGCGTCGAGGCAAAGGATGGGAAGTAAAAGACAATACACATGAAATAAGGCGAACCAAAAATGTTTTATTTACATCTTATTACATCGGTTTTCGTACTTATTAAAAATTAAAGCTAATGGTTCGCAATCGATGAGCTGATGTCCATTGAAGATGTCGCTATCACATATAATGTTCTCAGATGCGATGCGGGAGAATCGCGTATACTTGGTATCTACCGTATCGACGAGTCGAGCTAATCGTTCGAACGTTACATCGATTCACCCGTTAAAGTCAAACTTACGGCGTAGCGTCGTTTCGGTCATCATAATGCGTACCGATGAAGAATCGAAACGTACGACCGTAGCATAGTTCAGCATGAAAACACTGACGATTAGTGGTCCAACGCTTATAAAATTATCCTTGTATTCATTTCGAAACAGCTTGTAAATATTTCCTCGCTGCTCGTAGAGGCTCTTCATGTTTCGAGAGACAGCGATAGTTCGTGTCCGCGATGATCTCCAAGGACGATCTCCACGTAACTCGGTGGGCCAACGTTGATTCCAATTTCCAAAAATTTGTAGCCCGTATTCGTCAGATCGTAACGTCTGCTCAGTAAACGCAC